CGAATTCGCCCGGAAAACCACTCTAAAGAAGCGAAGGCCGGGCTGCTGAAGAAGCCGAGTGAGCTGACCACCCTGTGCGACGTCCCTGCTTGTGCTATAATCTTCAGTGCTTATGACGCGCAGCCGGATGTTTGGCCTTCCAGAGCCGGAGCGTGTCAAGTTCTCGAGAAGTTCGGGAGCTTACCGGAAGAGCAACGAGGTAAGCACGTGATGGACCAGACCATTGTTCTCAAAAGAAACATAATGCAGTTGAATGATAGGTTAGAGAAACTACGAAGAAAAACGAAGAGCTAGAGAAGGAACTTGCTTTGGTCAAAAGCATGGCGGACGAAAATAGCTGTGATTGGAATAATATAGAAGAGTTGGAGGAATTGAGTTATCAATTGCAGCAAAATATTGAGTTCATCTCCAATATGATTAAGAATTAAATGGAGTTTAAAAAGCCTAATCAAGTTAGCTGGGAAGTGGAAATAAGAGTAGACCATACTTAGCAGGTTTGATGTGAACACTACCTTTGCTTGTGTCTGTTTCGCTCTGCATGAATAAACTTTGGATTGGATCTATTTGAATTTGTTCTCACTTTTCATTTTCTTGCAAGTCAAGTATTTGTATACAAACATTAGCTTTTAATGCACACGAACAGGCAGGCGTTAATTTACCAAGCAGATATTAGTTTTTATTGTATACGAACTAAACCATCTCAATAATTTAGAGATTCCGAATAAAGAAATAATTCATTTTAAAGGTTTTAAATTCAAACACCATTGTAAAGAAATAATTTAGAGATTCCGAATAAAGAAATAATTTTCATTTTTAAAGGTTTTAAATTCAAACACCATTGTAAGATAGGACATTTAAACATTTATTATTGAATAATTAAGAATCATTATTAAATAATTGTGAACACGTTTTTTCGTCCGCAGTTAACTTATTACGTACATTATATTAATTATCATATTTATTTTTTATACAGTATTATTATCTAATTATATTATTTTATGTCCAAATTGCAAGTCTCGACAACCCACTAGTTGAAGCCCAGTAAAGAACAAGGCCCACGTGTGGACCCAACAAAACTAAGGTTTTCAACTTTTGCCTTCAGCCGTCATCATCTCTGTAGTTGGGTCAAAATGAGATCCAACGGATCACAATGAGCCATCTTTAGGGTTGTTTGAAGAAACCTAGCAATCACCCGTGCACCCGTCTCATCGGCAACGGATCTAACTTCTCAATCCGTTTTTTCGGCAAAGTAATCTCGTTGTGGGAAAGAGATTTCAAACCAAGAAAAAGGGAAAAAGAGTGTTTTAGTTTAACTAAAACACTAAATTTATGTCTATGAATTCCTGCTAAAAATAAGAAAACAATTAGGTTAGATTGAAAGAGAAAAGGAAAAAGACTTGAAATTTGGAAAGGAAAAAATCAATAAAAGAGGTAATTTTTTTACCTTTCCCGATTTGGTTTTGTGTTTGCATGTTCCATTGGCTTTTGTGTGTTTTCTTTGTCTCGAAAAAACATCATGGACGGAAGAAGCCGATGACCGGAGGAGATTGAGTGCGAAAGGTCTTTCTCAGATCTTGATCTCCTCGAGGCTTTCCGATGAAAACAATAGCTAGAATATAAAAGAGGGGGAAAGGAGCTTTCGAACGATGTAAAAATCATTCGATTCCATCGCGGATGAACGGTGGTCGGCGCCGGTTGATTTCCGTTTGAATGTTCTTCATCAAATGAAGAACATGAAAGACAATTAGAGAAAAGAAAGGAATAGTTTTTGATCTATTTTTGTAGGGTGAGTAAAAATGAATTGTGTTTGTAAAATTTTTGTATTTATAAGGACCCGAGGACCTGTTTGGAGGCTCTAAGATCAGCATGTTTTCAACGGTAGGGTCTAATTACCTTTTAGTCCTCTCATTTTCTTTTGAAAGTTCATTTAAGTCTTTTTTTTAATTTAATTCCCTCAGTTTCTTTTGAAAGTTCATTTAAGTCCTTATTTATTTAATTTCACCGAAATCTCTTTTAAAACTTTATTTATTTATTTTGATTTAGTCTTTTATAGATTTTTATATTCTTTTCCTTACTCAACCTGGTTCAATTTTGTTTCCTTTTTATTCTTATTACGTGATTAGAGCTTTTATTTACTTACCAATTTCCCTAAACTTATATATATATATATAAACATATTTCCCTGTTAAATTTATTTCCTTTATTAACTAAATCCATTTATACCTCTCTTTTTCTTCCCTTTTTTATTTTTATAAAATCATTTCCTTTATTTTATTTTTATTTAATTATCTTTTTCTTTGTTTTTCTTCTTTATTTATTTATTTACCTTTTTACCAAATTGTCTTATCACGTTTCATTGTAATTTAATTTCTTTTTCATTATTTTTATTTCATACATTTTTTATACTCCTTTTTTTGTGGCTGTTGGTCTTAAGTCAATTTCCTTGTTTAAAAATTTATTTTCTTTCCAGATGTGCGTGACTTATTCCTATTGTTTATTAACATTAAACCATGCCATTTATGTTTTTGTTTCTTATTCTATTTGTTTATTTCCATGTTTGTAACTTTAGTTTTGGGGTAATTTTAGCCATTTGTTTATTTATGGTTTTGAAAATTCATGATAATTTCAAATTTAGTAATTATTTTATTACAATAGGTACGTTTATGATTGTTTCATCGTTCATGGAATTTAGGTTACGTGAATGTATTAATTAGGAGATTTTTTTTAAGAATGTTGTGTCTTAATTATCCGATTACAATGTTAAAATTAATGATTAGAGCCTGGATGGAGTCTCTTGCTTTATCCGATTACAATGGTTTTGAAAAAGTTATGTATACAAAAAATTATAAATGCGATACTCTTAAGTATGTCTAAGATGCATGTAACATGAATTAGTTCTGTTATCCCCTGGATGGAGTCTCTTGCTTTGTGTGCTTGTTCCTGCATAGGAGGAAATGCCTTCAAAAGGTCTGATAATTTGCATCAGGATGTGAATTCCCAATATGCCCTAATATTCGATGTTGAATCTCAAAAAATGCCCCAACATTTGATGTTAAATCTAAAAAATGCTCCAACATTTGATGTTGAATCTTCAAAGATGCCCTCATTGTTCCTGATTTCTTGCTTCAGCATTGATTCTAAGCATGAGTTTTGTTTTTGAGAGCCACATGTCATTTACCAAGATCCACTCTAGTGAGATTGTCTTGTTTTGAAAAAAAAAAATGTTTTTTCTTTTTTTATTTCAAAGTTCTGAAATATCAAAAAAGAGTTTCGAAAAATGTTTAACTAAAAGTTTTGAAAATATTGCCCCTTTCACGGTTTTACATTGAGACAAATCATAAAACACGGTTTTACAATTGAGACAAATCATAAAACTAGAGTTCATTGGATATCAAAGATTAATTACATTGTTAATCCTTTAATAAATTATAGCCGTTTTGACACGTGCCAAGATCAATCTATTTTTGGGAAATGGTTAAGTAAGGAAATGATAAAAATGTATAAGGTTATTGTGTTTGGTCAAAGGTTTGGCATTTTTGTTTATTTGATGCTCAAAGGTTTGATGGGGGTATCTTGCATGCTCCTCTATTGGAAGTGTTCTCCGATTCTCAGCTTTCATTCGGATTGTGCGATGCTTATCAAGGTTAAGAAGAAATAAATAAATTAATTAAATTAAAATGAAGAAAAAACAAATTAAATAAAAGATAAGATAAAGAAAGCAAAGATAAAATAGTAAGTAAAATAAATATAAAAAAATAAAGAAGAAGAAAAAAAAACAATAAATAAAATAATATAAAAAAGTAAAAAAATATATATATATATATAAATAATAAAAATAAAAATAGTAAATATATATATATATAAATGAATAAACTGATAATAAAATATATATATATATATATATATATATATATATCTAAAAAAAATAAAAGTATATACTAAAGTAAAAAAGAAAATGCATAAAATGTAAAAAATATTACATGAAAAAAAAAGAAAAAAAATAACAAAACAATTAATAATGAGTAACAAGGGAAATGTGCATAAAATAAAGTTAATAAATAAAATAATAATAATTAAAACGTAAATGTAAGAGACTGAATCAAAAGTAAAAAAGATGTTACCTTTTATTTCCTTTTCGAATCGTTTACAATAGCTTTGCCTTGTATTTTTCTTGTTTTCCTCTGTATTTTGTATGTAAATCGTCTTACAAACAGGGAGGATTACATGTATTTATAGTGAAAAAAACTAACTATTTTTAGAATCCTATTAACAATAGAATCCTAATACAACTAGACTCCTTACTCGGTTGTTGCACGTTTGTTGGTGTGGTTGTTGCTTTAAAAGATATGGTGGTGGAAGAGTCCTCTTAGGGAGAAACTCTTGCTAATTCTATCTTTTAAGAAATGAGTGTCTACACGTATCTTGAGACTCGGGGGGTCGAGAAGAAGAATCCCACCACCAAAATGCTTCATTGTTTCATCGTTCCTGGAATTTAGCTTACGTGAATGTATTAATTAGGAGATTTTTTTTAAGAATGTGTGTCTTAATTATCAGATTACAAGTTAAAATTAATGATTAGAGCCTTAATTTTAGGTTTAGGCTTAGGTTCTTTAGTCAATTTATTCTTGACTTAGATCATTAGATGAGCCTTTAGTTTTAGGTTTAGTCTTGTAAATTTTTAATTTGCAATTATTCAAATAAAATATTAAAAAACTTTTAGGTAATTTTTAATTTTCAATTATTCAAATAAAATATTAAAAACTTTTAGGTTTAATATTAGAACCTCAATTTTATTGTTAAATCCTTCTAAATTTACACTTTAGATAGATGAGGCCTTAATTAACCCATTAGCATAATTAAGTTCAAAATTGATTGCATACATGTTATGAAAAAATTATCCATTTATATTTATACGTTCTATTATGAAAAAATTATCTATAAATCGATTTCTCATAACAATTGTTAAATTTGAACCAAAATTTTCAACTGTAATTGCTGGCACTTGTCGACAAGGACAAGTACTCCAAAAATTGGCGTATGCCGCTTAGAATGACGAGCACACGGTATTCTTTAGTAAAAGGCGAAAGAATAGTTTGCTTTGTGCTCACCACACGACTCCATGACTTGCAATTTAGGCTTGCGTTGGTTTATATGGTTGTAGTTGGAGCGTCAGCCTTTGTTTTCCACCGATGTGGGATTGAGCAGCACCAAGACTGTTTCCAAGTCTTCTTACTTTATCTAAGAAAATGATGGCTGCTTGAATACAATAATTTTCAAAACAACGAAGAAAAAAGGGACCTTCCCTCTCGGTATCGAGTGATGAACTAGCAGCAGATCTTGCCACTCTAAAACACGCTTTGCTGCTCACACTGTGTTCATCACCAACTTTATCTCGTTTATGATGTGACCATTTCATGATAGTTGCAAATGCTTTTTCTTTGCTGCTTATGTCCTGAATGTAGGCCTCATCAAATTAATTGCTACAGCTTTTCGCTTATGTCCAGTTCATTTGCCAGTTTTGCTGCTTGTACCAGGGTTTGCGACCTGGTTGATGCAAGATGCCAGACCAGTGCATACAACACTAATTTGTATGCATGTGTTATGCGCATGATAATTGTATGTATAATTTAAAATGTGTAAAATTTTAAATTTTTATATAAGATCAAATAGGGTGTTTAAATATAGTTATCAATTAAAATTTACGACATGGATGTAAATAAATGTTAAATTCCAGGGCAAGAAATGAAAAAAAAATTATAATTATATGACTCTCGATTGAACACCTTTGGTTCGTTTCCTGAAAACTTTCTGATATTATTTTAATAAACTGATCAAATCAAAAAGGGAAGCAACTTCATACCAATTTGGCCCCAACTACCCTTAAAATTTAAAAGAACAAGCATAGGACTTAGAATTATAGCACTTTCAGCCTACCCCATGAAACTAAAGAGTACAACTCCGTACTACATCAATCAACCCACAACAGCTCGTCAATTGTGTGCGGCATATTCTGACAACTTTACCGACTCTTTACGTTGCTTCATTTGCAGCATTGTGCATGGAATGACGGCATCTGATTCGGACAATTTTGATTTCTGATACGTTGATCTTTTATACGCACAATAATATTTGCATACTATTTGAAGCCATAAGTGATGAAAGATCTCAGCTTTCAGGTGTTTTTGCCTGCTTTCTCCTGGTGTGGATATTTCTAGATCTGTGTATACCATAAAAAAGATGCATCTGATAGAATGAAAAGTTGTAGCAGTAAGCTTTTCTCCAATTCACAGACTTAGCTCTTTCTCAATGTGAAAATTGAACGAGGTATCGGGAAGATATTCTGCATCGAGCAAATGGACTGTCAACTGATTCAAAACTTTCGATTAGGTCAACCCCTTCAAATTGTGTAGAATGACTTGCAGAAAAAGAATACATCCCGTATCTTTCTTCATTAATTCTGTCCAGCTACATCCCGTATCTTTCTTCATTGCCTTCTCCTTCATGATTTTTCTCAATTGCGCTATTTTATCCCACATTTTGGCCTCTGCGTAAATATTCGATGGCATAATATGAGCCGAAGTATCTTCTGGATCAATACTCAAAATTTTCTCTGCGGCAAGTCTTCCTAAGACTAGGTCCTTGTGAATTTTGCAGCCCGATAAAAGACATCTCCAAATCACCTTGCTTGGATCCATAGGGAAACTCCTTATGAACTCATAAGCTCTTCTAGTTTCTCCTTTACGAGCAAGAAGATTGACAATCGAAGCTAGATGCTCAAGCCTTGGAACAATACCGTGGTCCCTAATCATGGAATCATAGGTAGTGCAAACCTTCTTTTAAAAGACCGGCATGTGCACAAGTCGATAATAACCCAATGAATGTAATTTCGTTAGGTTTGACGTCACCTCTCTGCATCATACTATAGATATCTAGTGCTTCTCTCGCAAATTCATGTTGAGCATACCCTGTAAGTATAGTATTCCAAGAAACCAAATTTTTAGAAGTTAAAGAATCATAAACTTTTTGAGCAGCATTCAGTACCCCACACTTTGCAATACATGTCTATGAGGGGAGCTTCCAACAACGACATTGGAATCGAATGCAGGCTTAATGATACAGCAATGTGTCTGCTTTCCCCATTCGATAGCTGGGAAATCACTACATACACTCAAAATGATAGAATATGTGTAAATATTGGGTTTATATACTTGAACTAACATATCTTTCAGGAGATTGATGGCATCCTCAAATTGACCTGACCCAACATACCCAGAGATCAGTGAATTCCAAGAGACTATATCGTGCTCGTCCGTATCTTTCACTAGGCTTGATTCCTGAAGAGTGCAACTTAAGAAAAATATCAATGGCTTCTTTTCTCTTGCCTTGTTGAACATACCCACCAATTATCAAATTCCAAGCCGCCAAGTTTGATTGGTTTACATCCAAAACATCCTGACAAGCCGAACTCAGGTCTCTACACTTTGCATAAACACTAATCAACCCCGTCTCGACAAATTTGTCGAACTCAAGTCCACATTTAACCACCAAGCAATGTATTTGCATTCCAAACTTCAAGTCTTCCAATCCTGCACATGCACGAGCAAACTCGTTAGTTCTTACACCCACCCTTCTCGACTGCACGAAAATCTTCGAACTCTTCAAGTTTTCTCCCCGTTGACTGTAACAAGAAGTGAAGTCCAAGAAATCAAATTCGGCTCCAACATACTATCAAATACCAAATGAGCTTACTTCAACAACCCACATTTTCCGTACATATTAATCAAACTGTTATTAACAGGCGTACTAAAATCCACCCCACTCCTATAAATCTTCCCATGAACTTCCCTCCCAGCTCTACCATCACATATTCTAGCACAAGCTGAAACAGCGCTAACAAAGGTAAAATAGTTTGGCTTCATACCATCATTAACCATCAAACTGAAGCATTCCAGGGCCTTTTCCGCCATACCAAGTTGAGAATATCCTCAAATAAACGCCGTCCAGGAAATGACGTTTCTTTCTTGCATTTCATCGAACACTTTACGTGCATCCGAAATACGGTCGAGTTTCACGTACATCGCCAGCAAATGATTGTTGGTGTAAATATCTCGAGGAACCCCGGATATGATGATTTTGGCGTGGAGTGCTTTGCCTTTGGAAATGCTTCGGGTGTCTTCGAAAATACGAAGAAGGCGAGAAAATGACGGCATTGTAAGGGAGTGTGGAAAAGGGTATTGGGTGGATGAACATTTCTATAGATGGCAAGAAAACATCGTTTGGATTATTAAGGAAAGATTTATAAGTTTGGGAATCGGGTGCCGCTGTGTGATCTTCGTATTCTTGTTCATATGATTGCCTGCGTTTGGACTTTCTTCGTAACTGCGAAAAACTATATTGTTCATCATTCAACTATATTATTATTCATATTTTGGTCATAAAAGTTTAAAACTTTTCATTTCAATTACTAGACTTTTGAATTATTTCTGCGTTAGTCACTCCACCGTTAAGTAATGACATGGCACTAAAATGGTGTCATTTTTAATCCCTACATAAAGCTAAAATTAGTGAAAACCGACATTGTTTTGGTTCTCGATTAAAACTTATTTTTTCTCATTTCTTCTTCCTTCTTATTACTTCTCTCTTTTTCTATCTTTATGCCTAAACCAAATTCATCCATATATGTAATTCATTTCAATCATAATTTAACCTATATTTTCAAGCACATAATAATATAATTTGACCGAACTATTTTATTAGCAAGAATGTGATTAATATATACATATAATTTAGAATGAAATTAAAATATTCAAAAAGTTTAAGGACCAATTTAGAATAAGTTACAATATCATGATAAAACTAAAATATTCAAACATTTCAAGATTAATTTGAAATGATAATCATAGTTTATGAATAAAATTAAAATATTTTAAAAGTTTATGAATCAATTTAAAGTGAATATCATAATTTGTGAACGTGACACAATTAATTCTTTCATTTAAAGAATTTTAGTATAATATAAGTCAAAACTTTTATATTAGATTCACGATTAGGGATGGCATAACGATGAGTAGGATTCTTAGTCAATCTAAATTCAACTCAAAAAATTGAAGCTTACTATAGGCATTCGACTCAATATAAGTTTAGGAGGATTTCAATCGATCCAAAAATTGAAGCCCTCTATTCGCATTCAACTCAATCTTAATTTAAATTTTTTTACCCGATCCAACTTTTTTAAGCCAAACCCTCACATGACCTTATATATATAATTATTTTTTTAGACAAAAAGGACCTAATTTTTTTTAAAAATAAAAAGAGTACTATTACAATTATCCCTTAATATTTAAGAGATAATTTTAATATCATATCGAGAAAAAAATCATTCTAACTTTAAATAGACCCAATATGATCTTATTATAATGTTCTAATCCACTGCGACCCGAAGACCGAATGATTAATACGCTACACGAGGCCACTGAAGTAGTTAACCTAAAAAAATTTATTTTTAAAACAATTATAAAGACAATTTAAAACATCCATCATAAACATGAAATGAAATAGTAGTGTTTAAGTTTAACAAATCGGGAGCCCCCAAAATACATCTAAATTGATTAAACAAATATTTTAAGATACAATTACGACTTGAATACAAAAGGTTCATATACAATATACTCAAGATGTATTCAAAAGATGAAGTCGGTCTGGAATACGGACTGTGTGATAAGCTCCTCCTAAGAACCTGCGCACGGAAACAAATTTCAAACGCTGAGCTCACAAACTCAGTGCCACACTAATAACCAAACTATACTATATACATCCATTAAATGATCATGCTCGCTAACATAAATGTTTGCATACGAAAATGTAAATCTAAACATACATACAAAGGTGGGCATCATGCTGTGGTCGAAGTGTTTTGCTATATCTTAGAGACACATACCCCTCTAGCCTACCTAAGGCGAGATCTGAAATTTCTAAATTGGAAATTTCACCCAACCAACCTACTCCATACGAGTACTTGGGGCATATATGCTCAGTCGGTAAAGAAATGCATTGTGCACTAATTAAGACTTGTCCGGACATTCTACCACGCAAATGTTTACCTAACTACTAAAGTAGC